TTGCATTTTGATGATGATGTGTCTTGGTGTGGGCCTCTTGGGGTTCATCTCTGTGCTTCCTGGACATGTATGTCTGTTTCCTTCACCAAGTTAGGAAAGTTTTCTGCCATTATTGTTTCAAACAGGTTTTCAATTTCTTGTTCTCTCTCTTCTCCTTCTGGCACCCCCAAGATGCGAATGTTGGGACGCCTGAAGTTGTCCCAGAGGCTCCTTATACTATCCTCATTTTTTGGGATTCTTTTTTCTTTTTGCTGTTCTGATTGGGCATTTTTTGCTTCCTTATATTCCAAATCGATGGTTTGCTCCTTGGATTTACATACTCTATTATTGAAGCTGTGTAAATTATTCTTTATTTCAGTTAATGCCTCCTTCAATTCTAACTGTGCATCCATGATTTCTAACTGGTCCTTTTTTATGCTCTTGAGGCCCTCCCTAAGTTCACTGAGGTTCTCACTAAGTTCATTGTGCATCCTTATAAGCAGTATTTTGAACTCAGTATCTGTTAGGTTGCTTATCTCCATTTTGCTTAGTTCTTTTATTGGGGTTTTGTTCTGTTCTTTCATTTGGGACCTGTTTCTTTGTCTCCTCATTTTGGCTGCCTTCCTGAGTTTGTTTCTGTGTATTACTTAATGAGAGGTATGGGGCTCGCTGAGACCCGATGCTGCTCGTTTGAAAGAATTTAGGAAAAACCTGAAGCAGGATCCAAGACCGGCCAATCCTATGGTTAAGCAAGTGGCAACAGCTTGGGTGGGCTTGAAAGTTGGGTGGGCGGGGCGGGGCCTCAGGGAGTCAGCAGGGCGGGGCTACCAGTGTGAGCCAGGTTGCTGGAGTCCCAGATATGGCGACTGTCTGCTGCCCCCGGGAAGGGCTCACCAAAGGAACAAAGGCCTCTGACAGCACGTTTGTCCCAGAGAAAGCCCCCTCTCCAGCCCTCACTCCAGTGCCAAACAGCTCAGTTCTTCCCTGTATGTCTCTGGTGCCCCTCGAGCTGCCTCCCCTCCGAGCTCAGAGGGAGAGAGTCCGATAAGTCCGTGCGCGGGCCCTTTAAGGAGCTGCCTAGGGCTCCAGCTGCTTCAGCTTCCCTGAGCCTCAGTTCCTGCTGGTTTTTCCAGCCAGAAGTGATGGGGACTTCTCTTCCTGGCACTGGAACCCTGAGCGGGGCACCTGGTGTGGGACGGGAACCCCTGAGTCCTCAGGAAGGACCTTCCCAGCCGAGGTATCCCCCTGATTTTTATCCGCCACACGTGGGTGTGGGACCAGCCCGTCCCCTCCGCCCCTCCTACCAGTCTGGATGTGGCTCCTTCTTTAATTCCGTAGTTGTAGGACTTCCATTCAGCTTGATTTCAGGCGGTTTTGAATGATGGTTGTTCTGTAATTTAGTTGTAACTTTGATGTGGTTGTGGGAGGACGCGATACCGCGTTTACCTACGCCACCATCTTGACCGGAAGTCTGCCTTTTTAACTGTATCCACCCCAACTCCTCTCCATGCAGGAATCTGATATTGTGTGTACAGAGACAAGGAGAAGCAATGTGGGAAGAGCAGGTTAACCGAGTGAGGTCATCATAGGATCTTCGAGCAAGGCAGGAACATCTTTAGGAGGAGCTCCCACTCTGATTAGCAAAGGAGGACATGTCAAGTGTTCTGGTTTGCCCAGGGTTGAGGGGTTTCCTGGGACACAGGACTTTCAGAAATCAAACATGAGCTATTGTTCACCTAATTTAGGGTGTCACAAGTCCTCCAAACGCCCCTCACAATGCATCCCCACTCCAAATTCAGGTCCTTAAGTTTCCCGGTCAATACTTTTACATGAGGCCTGGTGAGGCTGTGAGTGAAACTTTTGGTGTAATTTGGCAACCAGCGGACTAAGACCTTGGTTTTCAGTTATCTCAGCCTTACAGCTGGTAAGAGAGAAGAGATTCTTTTAGCAAAAACATAGGCATTTTTCTAGCTTTTATACTGTGCCTTGAGCTGAGAATTTATGCCTTTGAGCCTAAATTATCTCTTTCTTTTTTTTTTTTTTTTTTTTAATTTTTTTTTTTTTATCCTCACCCGAGGATATTTTTCCATTTTTTGTACAGATAGAGTGGGAGGGAGAGAGAGGAAGAGAGAGAGAGAGAAACATCGATGTGAAGGGACACATCGAGTGGCTGCCACCCGCACGACCGACCAGGGCCGGGATCAAACTGCAACCGAAGTACGTGCCCTTAGCGGGAACCGAACCCGGGTCTCTCCGGACCGCAGGCCGACGCTCTAACCGCTGAGCCAAACTGGCCAGGGCAAATTATCTCTTTCTTTATGACTCTAGCTGTAGGGCAACCAAGCAATCCCACAGTCCTGGATTTGTTCATCCTTTAGTTTTATGGCAGCAGCCATTTATCAGCCAAAACCTTCCCATCCTTAGATAATGCATTCCATTGATTTTTTAACCTTATATTTGTGTTTTTTTAGGTCCCAAAGATATTTTGCTGCAATAGTTTTTATTAGCTCTATATTTTACCATTCATACTTAGGTCTTTAACCCATTTAAAGTTTACCTTTCTAAATAGTATAGTTTTAATTTTATATAGAATATAGTTTTAATTTTCTCCATGTGGTTGGCCAGTTTTCCTAATCTTTTTAACTACACACGCCATTCTTTATCTCTGATTGTTGTGCTACCTTTGTAACTCATATTCAGGGGGTCTCTGTGAGCTTCCTGTTCTATTCCATTGTTCTGTATTCTCATGACTGATGTATATGTAAATATCTGGATATTAGAGACTTAGTATGAACAAAATAATGTAAAATATCTCAATACTTTTTTTTATCCTCACCTGAGGACATTTTTCCATTTTTTTGTTCAGACAAAGTGGTAGGGAGAGAGAGGAAGAGAGAGAGAGAGAGAGAAACATCAATGTGAAAGGGACACACTGAGGGGCTGCCACCCGCACGACCAACCAGGGCCGGGGACAAACTGCAACTGAGGTACATGCCCTTAGCAGGAACCGAACCCGGGTCTCTCTGGACCTCAGGCCAATGCTCTAACCACTGAGCCAAACCCGCCAGGGCTCAATACTTTTTATATTGATTACATTTTGAAATGATAATATTCTGATTATGTTGATTTAAATAAAATATATTAATATAAATTCCACTTTATCTTTTTATGCAGCCACTAGAAATTATGCATGTGGCTGACTTTCTTTTCTGTTGGAGAGTGCTGTTCTGGACTGTGCTTTAGTGAAAAGAGAAGAGATTGGGAAAAAAGATAAACACAGACTTAAAACCCACCTCCCTCACTTATTAGTCTGTGGACTTGGCAAGTTACTCAAAATACCTGCTTCATAAGGGAATTGTGGGGACTGTACTAAATAGGATAATGTATACAGAATACATGATACCTAGTAAGTAACCACCCAATGGTTGTTTCATTATCTTTCTAGAAGGACAAGGTAGTAGCCCATTCATCATAGTATATGGTATATAATAAATAAAGTTCAAATGGAAATTAGCTATTAGAATACTTTAAAATTCATAGCATACTATCACATGACCACCCATTAAGACCCAGCATTATTATTTAAAAATGTAACACTACATTAAGAGAGAAAAAAACAATTATTTTATCATTTTATTCATTGATTGTTTTTTCTGTGCTTTAATAAATCTTTTGCATAGGTAAGTACATTTAGTTAGAGCTAGAAGACAACAGGGAAATAGACAAAAATAGGCATTCTGGGTCTTTTCGTAGTAACTATACTGAGGAATTTTTGACTAAATGTACCTTCAGAAATACCTTCTACCTATTCTACTCACAGTTAAAACAATTTGTGTAACCTTCAGTTTCCAATAAAATAATTTCATAGTACAGTTTACCTTAACCATTTCTGTACTCTTTAAAAGCATTACTTCAAAACCAGAAACTTCTCTGAATAATTCTACAAATAAGTAGCAAATGTTATTGTGTCTGAACTTACTAATTTAAAATTGTCTCCATTAGTTCTGTGATTAATTTTTAAAGTAAAACTTGAAATGAACATGAATTTCTTGGCTGTAACTACGAGTGGTAATTAGAATACTTTAATAACGAATGTAAAGATTATTTCTGATATTGGGGAAGTGGTTACAAAATTTCTCCAAATTCAGAGGAAACTGTGTTTACGATAGCCACACGGCGAGCTCCGTAATCACCTGAGCGGATCACGAGCACATTAGAGCAGATCACTCAGGTGGGACCCAGCTAGTCTGGGAACTCTGCTCTTCTTGCTCCTGACTGCAGATCTTTGACTTAAGAGGTGGATTCCGCAGACAGCCCTTTTTCAAGAAGCTTACCTACTCTCCCTCTCCTCTTCCCACTGCCCAGGCTGTGATGAACTGAAGGGACCTGCCTCAGGACAGGAGCCACAGTCCTCACAGGCCCAGCAGCAGCAGTGTGGAGCTGAAGGCAGGGCACTTAGGGGAGAGAAAGGTGCTGTTAAAGGGGACACTGACGAGGAGGCCTACATAGCAAGAAGATGTAACAGTGGGGAATGAATATTAAAACCTAAGGCTGCCCAAGGCACTGTAAACAGCAGTGATCATTTTTAGAAATGTTAGAATTCAATAGGGATTAGGAAAAAATATACCTGAAAAGTTATATTTCTCTAGGCAGCTAAGTGTTGTTTCTGTTTTTCATAGAAGTTCATCTATGCCTAAATATATATATATATATATAAATGGTTTTTTTTTATCCTCACCCGAGGACATTTTTTTCAATATTTTGTTCAGATAGAGTGGGAAGAAGAGAGAGAGAGAGAGAGAGAGAGAGAGAGAGAGAGAGAGAGAAACATCAACGTGAAAGGGACACATCTAGTGGTTGCCACCCACTCAACCCAACCAGGGCCATGGACAAACTGCAACCGAGGTACGTGCCCTCAGCTGGAACCGAACCTGGGTCTCTCCGGACTGCAGGCCGACGCTCTAACCGCTGAGCCAAACCGGCCAGGGCGATATATATATTTTTAACAAAATGGTCAACAAAAGAATTATGAGTTTTAATTTTAATCATACATATCATTTTGGTCTTCCTATTAGTTCCCTATATAAAAACAAAGAGTTTCTCAATAGCAGGTGCAATAGCTCTTAGAGAACTTGGGCAAAATAAGATCGAAATCATAAAGAACCAGAAAGTCGATGAAGCAAAATTATCTAATGTGATGTTTACCCTAAAGCATATTAATATCTTCCCCATAAAATTTTAGATTGTTAAAGTAAAATTATCTTAATCTACCATATTATAAATCATTATAAAAGATTCATTAATAAAAATTATGAAAGACTTCAAGATCTCATCAATGGAGTTAGAAATGTCAGCTATTATGCTACTAGTGAGATTTGGTCTGTATTTTCTGGGCTTCTTCAGGCCAAGAATAACAATCAGGAAGAATCTGGTCATAATCAGTGCGATACATCTGAGAGAGGACAAATGCTTCCTTGTTTGGGGGCTCGGGATAAACTGTGGCTGTCTTTTCTTGGTATGCGTCTTTCACAATCTAGAAGTAGGAAAAGAATATTAGTTATTTTAATGAACTGAGGTGATGGTGAGCACATATCAGAAGTTTTTATCTGTTCCAAAAATTAATATATAATTTATATCTTGTCTGTTTTCAAAAAAAATTAAGTTGTATTATAATAAAAGCACATATACACAAAGAAGATATAAAATGAAAATGTAATTATAAATTATATGGTAACAGGTGAATATGATATCAGCAACAAAGAAAAGTGTGCAAAGAAAAGTAGAGTTTTACTCATGGGTTATCAAACCAGGATTTCTCAGATAAGCGTGGAAAATGTCTTGAAATGACCTAATAATTATCTTAAACTAAATATTGTAATACTCCTACTAAGTTTGAACTCAGGCACCTTGCAGTTTTAACAATGCCTATTCTGACCACAGCTTCTTACAAAATCTCTTTATCCTTGAGTCTTGCTCCTGCTCACCTGACGAGCAGTACGCTGTGGGCAGGTGCAACACTCCTTCCTAGCACCACAGACTCATTTCCATGGCTTGTGTCACATCCCCATTCTGGTCTCCAGTATGGAGAACCCTCAGTGCGGGCATGGCTGTCTCCTGACATCCTACGATTCCTAACATTACTCGGGCCTATATCATCACATTATGCTTTTATCCTCTTTTAAAAAAATAAAACAAAAAGGCAACTTCCCCTCATATTTCCCATGGGCAATTTCAAACCATACCCTTGTCAAATCTCTATTTAACTCTCATCACTCTACTGAGAAAATTCCAACTAATCCGAGAAAACTACCTCACTTTCCCTTTTCATCAACATGAACTATCTCCTCTTTGTTTCCAAACATCCTGTCTTCCCATATTTTCTTTGGGAAAAATGGATTCTCCCTCTTGTCAAAATGAATCACTCCATATATGCTTATTACATTCACTCCAGTTTCATTGAGGAGCTATATGTATGCTCGACTTATTTGGAGAAGTCTGATTTTGAAGAATATTAGAATAAGTTTCTCTTCTCACTGTAAAATTATGCATTTATGAAAAATTATGGTTATAAAGACTGTATTGTTATGAAAAATATCAGAAAACAAAAGTATACATTCAGCATACATTATCATAATGATGTTAGAAAAGCAGGCAAACAAATGTAAAAAGACTGAAAGCACACACCTCAAAAAGATAACGCTTGGGTTAGAAAACTGGAATTTTAGGCATTTTCCTCTTCTCTATTTTCCAAAGTGCATATAATGTAGTATTATTACTCTGAACAGTTTTTGTTGTTTTGTTTTTTTAGGTATAGTTCACTCACCACAAAAATTCAGCCATTTTAAGTACACAACTCAATTATTTTTATAAGTTGACAGAGTTGCATAACTGTTACCACATCCAATTTCAGAACATTTCCATTGCCCCAAAAAGATCCCTTGTGCCTATTTGTAATGGCTATATTACTTTTGTAAAAAAACAAACAAACACATGGCTTCATTTCTGACATAGACTGTGTGGAATTACATTCCTCTTTCTGCTCCCAGGACTCTCTCAGCGAAGTCTTCCCTCTTTCCTTCTTGAAAATGCCAAACTCTCTGGAAGATCTGCTTAAGATTGTCCTGTTTTTCTTCATTCCCGCCAGAATTCTTAACTTCTTATACTATTGAAATTGCTTTTTGTAAAAGTTTCTGATGACTTCTTAAGTATAAATAAAAGTTGTCATCATTCAAACTAGTTTTTCTCACCAGGATTTGGTTTTTTATCACAACGTTCCCCCTCATCCTGAACGTGTGTCTTCCTCTGATTTCTGACATGCTGCTCAGTTCTGAGTCTCTTCTTAAAATTGTGAGTATTTCTTTTCTTATCTGCGTTCTTTCTTCTGTCTTTTAGACAGAAAATAAACTATGTTCTATCCTTGGTTTTCTTTTCTTTCCATACTTATTCTCTTGTAATCCCAACTACTGTTCAGTGTAATAGCAATTCCAACTGGTTAAAAACAAGTAGGGACACATTAGGAAAAAATATGAGCATGCTCTTTCATAAATAAATAACCAAGAAGATTATCTAAAAGCGTTTTGAAGGATTATTTGGTTTTTGAAGCATTTACCCTCAATCAACAAGATTAATGACATATGAATCCTAAATGGTGTTGTTTTGATAAACTTGCTAATAGCTTTGATTTTTAACCAGGAACAAGTTGGCCTCTGAGGGAATACTTGGCAATGTTTTGGAAACAGTTTTGGTCATCACAACTGTTCAGAGGCTACTGGCATCTTGTGGAAAAAGGTCAAGGATGCTGTTAAAAATCCTACAACGCTCAGGGCAGCCCCCACAACAGTTATCCAGCCAAAATGTGCATGAAGTTAAGAAACCCTAGTTTTAAACATATAACTACTATTATGGACTGAACTATGTCACCCTCAAAATGTTGGAGCCTTAACCCCCAGGACCTCAGAGTATGACTGTATTTGGAGATAGGGCCTTTAAGAAGTAATTAAATTAAAATAAGGCTGTTTGGGTGGCCCTAGCTCATGCTGACTGGTGTTTCTATTAGCAGGGTAAATTTGAACTGAGATACCAGGGATGTCTACACAGAGGAAAGACCCCATGAGGACACAGAAGGCAGTCACCTAAAAGCCAAGAAGATAGGCCTACAAAAAAACTAGATCTGCCTACGCCTCCATCTTAGATTTCCAGCCTCCAGAACTGTAAGAAAATAAATTTGTTTTTAAATCACCTAGACTGTGGTATTTTGTTATGACAGCAACTATATTGAAAAAATGCAACTATATTGCAAAAATGTCGATTTCTCTCTCAGTTATAGAAAGTTTCTCTGACGTTAGGCTCTTCTTGGCTGATCCCTTCCATAGTCATCTGCCGCCCCAATGGCTTTGAGTGCTTGGCCTTCTGCCCAGCGTTTCCAGTTGTGATCTTTAAGACGCCACGCACCACAGAGACATGGATAGGGCAGGTGGTTGAGAGTCTAAATGTCATTCTACCACACCTGCAATATTTTGGCAACTTTCATCATGGTGATACAGAAGCTACTAACTATAAAAAGATAAAGTGGAAAAGATCTAACTGAAAGGAAATCCTAATGAATTACTTAAATTATAGGAGAGAAAAAGATTGATAGGGAAATTAATGATTCAGCCAATTCTTCCATTCCTATGGATCAAACATAGTTCCTAAGCTCTGCCGAGGCACCGTGCCTTCTCACATAATAAGTTGGCACAGAAATGTTAAGAAATTGGATTTTTAATACCTGAAAATGCATACTTAGCAATAAAAGGAAGGAAAAGTAATGAGGTTGAACAAGAATGGTTTTACCTCTGCTGCAATTTTCAGAGAAATATCTCTAATGGTGTTCAAAGGAGGATAAAGCCGGCCCTCCTCCAAATGCTTATCTGACACTTGCTGAGCTATAACCTTAAAAAAAAGAGACAGAAATGTTTATACTTTACACATACATACAACATGAAGGTTATGAAGATAACTAGGTGAATGGTCACATATATGGTATGTATAGAAGCAGATCACATTAATGTGATTATCTAATTTCATCTCCCTCTTTATCAATGGAAAAACTGAGCCCAGAGAGGTTTGGTGATTGGTGGGATCACACAATTAGTGAAAAAGATGGGAATAGCATTTGGGTTTCCTCTTAATCCAGTTCCTTTTCATGTACCATGAAATGCCAGCAGCTCCCCCATTGGCTACACTAAAGGAACAGGGAGAGAGGAGACAGGAAGGTATTTGAGGATGACAGAGTGATGGAAAAGGAGCCTGGAGGTAGAGGAGGGACGATGTCCAAGACTGATGATGCCATTTCTCCCCGCTCACATACTCACACAGGAGGCAGAGCAGGAGGCTGAGAAACCTATTTCAGAGTCACCTTGCAAACAGGATTTTAATTTTACACAGATTCTGGGTTATACGGATCACCTAACTAGCCTCAGCATTTACTGCCCCCAAACTGTCCCCTATTTCTAAACCAAACAGTGCACATTTCAACCTCTGCTAAGAGGCAGATCCTGTGTTGAGTGCTCTGACTACTGTAGCTTTTCACATGTCAATCATAACTCAGTAAAGGAGTTTTAAAAGACAGAGACACACTGGCACCATGTGCCTCCTGATGTGATGCACTGAGAAGGAGACAATTATTGGCATTCAGTGTTCCTCACAAACCATGTAACCTGAGTTAAATCACAGGAAACAGTTAGATAAGCCTAAATTGAGGAACACTGTAAAAACAACTGGCCTGTACTCTCCAATGTCACTGCCATAAAAGAAACAAAAGGCGGAAATATTCTTGCAGATTAAAGAATTAGCCTAGAGCCTATAAAGGTCTTTTTGATGGATAATTTAAAAAATTTGAATTTGGATGGTATATTAGATAATAGTATTATATCAATGCTAACGTTCCTGAATTGATAATGGTAAACTGATCATATAAGAAAATGTCCCAAAATACTTAGGGGAAAAGGGGCATAATATCTGTAAATTGTTCACAAATGGTTCAACAACAAAAAAATACTATGGTCAGGGCCAGTTTGGCTCAGCGGTTGAGCGTCGGCCTGTGGACCAGAGAGTTCCGGGTTTGGTTCCCGCTAGGGGCACATACCACCAAAAAGAAGAAGAAAAAAATACTATGTAAATATCCATATCTACAAAATAGCACTGAGTTACTTATTGAAGGTGCCAGGGCGCAGAGGTGACTCGTCAATCTTAAAGTTCCCTCCAGTTCTGACTTTAAATCTTTCAGTGTGGCAGGTCTAAATCAGAGTATGTAGCTGGGTATTTTTTAATAGAACTATGGATGCATCGAGGAAATAGAAAACTTTCCTCATTTGAGATATTTTGAATAATCACACTTAGTTTTTCAGTATCTTTAATTTTAGACTTCTTTAAATCATGAAATTATTTCTGAAATATTGTTTTGTAGCCATCAGCAAATATGAAAGACAGCACTACAGAGGGGTTTAAAAAGCAGTCCCTACCTTCGAGAGATGTGTAACTTAGTATGGTAACAAGCTACAGGAAGAGAGAACACTGAGAGAGAAGACAACCGAGGCTAATGGAAATGTGAGTGTTAAGAAATCCAGAGGAACAGTCAAAGGAGCCGGAGTAGAAACTTGAGGAAAGCGAGGAGTCAGACAAACAGTGAAGGGTGGGCGCCCAGAAAGAACCAGTCAGACCGAATGCAGAGACGAGACGTGTGAGCCGGGCTCAGCGAGCCCAAGTATCCTGGTCTGGGGGAGCCGAGGATCTATGTAAAGAAATAAGGGTTGGAGTCCTGCCAATGCAAATTAAGTAGTTTGGGGTTAAGTTCTATGAGTGACTGAGGACTTCTGAACAAGGATATTTAGATATGAGTTGGGGACACAGGGAGGCAAATTTCTGAGCCTCGTTTTCTCTTTGGTGATACAAGACTAGTAACAATTCCTAATTAGTAGGATTAAATGAAATAAATGCCAGTAAAGAATTTACCACCCTGTCTGGGAAAGTAAATGTATAATAAATCTTAGCTATTTCATTTTTAAAAGCACAGGCAGACAGCATGGCAGAGTGGAAGTAAAATAGCTTTTGGGGTCCTATCTAGTTCTTCAACATGTTAGCTGATTAGCTACTTGATTTGCAGGCAGGTTATGTAACCAATCAACTTCAATTTTTTAAAACTGTTTACATGAGATAATATGTGTATTGCTCCTATCACCACTGGCACATTGCTGGGTTTCAACAGCATTGTTTTTACCCCTAGAATGTTACAAAACACCATCTGAAAAAGATTGGGCACAGTCAGAAGATGGTTGAGTATTAGTTCAAAACGATTTGCTGTTTTGATATGCCATTGGTGTCTACCTAACTACATTGTGGCTGTTTTCAAATAATCTCTGTTCATTTCATTTTGACAATGTTATGGTAGATACATTCTCAGTTATCCAGTGACTTAAAAGAATCCAACCTTCCTGCAGATGCTGTTGACTGTGTTAATCATTTCTAGTGTCCCCTGGGAGATACCAGAAAGGGGCGGGGCAAGGTGAATGAGAGGACACAGCAGATGACTCAAGGGGAGTGGTGTGAGGACAGCAGGCCAAGGCTCGCCTCCCAGATGTGAACAGGCTGCTGTGCAAACAAGGCAGAGCCAGGAGGGCTGAGGCGGGGTGCACTGGGGGCTCTCACCAGAGGCCCAGGAGACTGTCCAGAAGACCAGAAAAGCCAAAAATCTCTGCGTGATATAAAATTATCTAGAAATAGTCTTTGGTGTTGGTGCCAATCTGTGAGTTTCTATCCCATAGCTATCTAACTAGTATTTTGAAAAGAATCCTAACACTTATTTGAAGTTGCCAAACAAAAAATTCACCTAGACCTCCTACATGTTACTTTGGTTAACTACAAATATAATCTGCATAGCCCAGCCAGTGTGGCTCAGTGGTTGAGCGTCAACCCAAGCACCAAGAGGTCGCCAGTTCGACTCTCAGTAGGGCACAGTCCCAGGTTGTGGGACAAATCCCCAGTGGGGAGCATGCAGGAGGTGGCCAACTAATGTTCTCTCTCATTGATGTTTCCATCTCTCTCTCTCCCTTCCTCTCTCTCTAAACAATAAAAATAAATAAATAAATAAATAAAAACCATTAAAAAAACAAATATAATCTGGATAAAAAGGACTTTCTTCTTTCCAGGGCCTTCTAGCAGTGAGTGTATGTAGTATTGCATTTATTCTTCTTGTTAACATTTATGACTATTATGTTCAATTCAATTCCGTAAGCATTTACTCAGTTTCTGCTATGTGCTTTAGCATCATGCTAGGTGCTACTGGTATTTTGAAAGAAGTATATGGACGACACTCTCTTTTTAAAAAAAGATAATTTACAATGCAATTATAAGGCAACACTTAATTGTTTAAAACACTAAGTTCTCAAGGGCATAATACAACTAGGAATGAAATTTAAATGCTGATATGTTTGATGAAGACAGTCATGGCTAAAGTGTAAGATCAAAATGAGCCAGAGTCATCACAAAAGGATAAGATGGATTAAGCAATGACCTGAAGAACAGGCTTAGATAGGAAGGGAATAGTGTTCAGAGTTTTCCAGGCAGGATGATAAATAGTCAATGAGTAACAGACAGAGCAGCTACATGGAAGTACATATGCATGGAGACTTTGGGAAGAGAGAGAATGAAAAGCATGTCTGGCATCTAAGCTTTGGTGCGTGCTCAGAAAGGGGGCATCACTAATACAAATGCAGATATCGAAGGCAAGGGAAGACAGGAGGTATGGTTTTACACACCCTATGTCTAAGCAAACAGCAGGGCATTTCAGTGGAAATGCCTATTCAGTAACTGGAGATATGGGAAGATAATACTAGAAACATACAGATTTGGCCACATTTTGAATGAAGGTAATGGAAACAAGAGAATAAATGAAATCTCTGAAATCAAAAGAAAAGGGGAAGAAAAAAAAAAGGTAAGAAATGAACGCTAGAAAAATTCTCATAGCTAAAAAAGACATGAAAAGGAAACAATGAAGTGGTATGAAAAACAGCAATATTGTGTGGAAGCCTGAAGGAAAAGTGGAAAGGCCGAAAGATTTAGCCAAAGAGAGCACTAGCTTTGATAAAAATAACTCTACTGACATCAACATATTTTATTTATTTTTCTTCAAAGTTTTTTTTTTTATTACTTTTCCTGGATAGTAAATGGATTTTCTTTCTTTTTTTCATGAAATCTGTCACTAGAGGGTGCTGAAGTTATTTAGGAGAGAAACTACTGGCTACCATGAGTAAAAGTTTTTTCTTATGCTATATCTGCTATAAAATACAATGATTACATTTTCCTTAATGTAACAACTGTGAAAAGCTCTTTCAGCAATTAGACATCTATTTATGTTTAACAAGACTTTTTGAGTTAAAGAAACTCTGAGACATCAGCTGTTGTGCTTTTACTTCAGTAAAAAGAAATGGCTTCCAGACATCTGTTCTCACATATGATGCCAAACGCTAAACACTTTAGATCACATCAATAATATAAGATCTTTGTTGATATTTTTAGTGAATATTAATCAGTTGTTATTTGGTTCAGTTCAGTTATAATGTTGTTCAGTGGTTTAATTTTGAGAAGAAATTCACTTATATTTTCATTCATAAATTGTATTGTCTTTGAACATGATATCAACTAGATCAGTGGTTCTCAACCTTCCTAATGCCGCGACACTTTAATATAGTTCTTCATGTTGTGGTGACCCCCAACCAGAAATTATTTTTTTTGCTACTTCATAACTGTAATTTTGCTACTGTTATGTCTTAGGAGACCCCTGTGAAAGGGTCGTTCGACCCCCAAAAGGATCATGACCCACAGCTTGAGAACCGCTGAACTAGATGAACATTCTGATTACCAAAAGTTCATTATTTTACATCTATATGTTCAATCATTGTATCATCTTCCTGAGGTTTGGGGTGAGGGGAACTGAAAGGAACCTAAGTTCAAGTTACCTCTTGTGGCATAAAAATAAAGTCCTTTGTCTCTAGGAGTTTGTGTCTTTTGCCAGAATTTATGAAACCGAGGTGGGCTAATTAGTTAGCTTGCAAATAGGGTAACATTTTAGAGCTTCCACAGTTCTTAACAGTAGCTTAGCAAAGCTTTCCTACTGGGTCTTCTCCATGTTATTCTCAGAATCTTTCCGGAAGGCCCACACTAGAAGCCACTTCTGTCGTTTTAATGACATTATTTACACCTAATTACCTGTCTTAATTTCCTTTCTGCTTAAAATACTAGAGTGGTTATACCCTGGCTGGGTGGCTCAGTAGGTTGGAGCGTCATCCTGTACATCACAAAGGTGACAGGTTTGACTCCCAGTCAGGACACGTACCTAGATTTCAGATCTGATGCCTGGTCGGGGTGCACAGAAGAGGCAACTGATCGCTCCTTCTGTCTCACATTGATGTCTGTCTCTCTGCTCCCCCACTCCACCCCCTACCCCCTGTATCTAAAATCAATAAAAGCATATACTTGGGTGAAAATTAAAAAAAATACCAGAGTGGTTTCTGTTTTCTACACTGAAACTTGAATGATAAATACTTCTTTACTAAACCAAGTCAGGCTTTCATTTTAAATCTTTAAAATACCATTAATGTTTCTCTAAATAGAGAAATATTTACCATTTAATCTATGAATTAGACACAAAATTTTTAATTGTCTCACTACTGTCACAGAATTTGATTGGAAGCATGAAGATAAAAAAAGGTTCCATTTTAAGAAACTGGAACATAGTTTTTGTTTCTTTTTGTTTTTTGCTGGCTACTGAAGAACAATCTTTTATAAGTGACTCAGTATGAAACTGCTACCCACCCACTATTTTCTACTGTGCAAAGATTTTCTCTTTTCAGCTGCACCTTCTAGGGAATGAGCTGAGTTTGTGCTGGATAAGGAAACAGGAGACAACCACACTGAGCTCATTTGGCATTTTATAGCCTTGGCGAACTTCAGGGTGTTTTACAGTACCTCAGCAGTAGCTAGGAAAACCTTGTCTGGGATGTGCCTCAGTCCACACGCCACAACACCAAGAGCAACTCCAGGAAACACATAGGAATTGTTGCCTTGGCCAGGGTACAGGGTCTGTCCGTTTGGAAGGGTGACTGGATCAAAAGGACTGCCGCTGGCAAAAACCGCACGCCCCTACAACACAGAGACACGCTCTTACAAAGAAGCAGGATATCTTAAAACACAGGCATCATGGTACAACGACCCCATATGAGTATTTAGAAAGAAGTTTAATATTTTTAGTTTTAAAATATTAATTTATTACAGTTAGAAGTAAAAAAAGAATGAGTTCTTCTTTCTAGTTTTCAGTTCATATTATAAACCTTATTATCCCATTATAAAGCTAGCAAATTTTCAGTCACTTTAAAGGTGGCCTTTAATTACTTAATTACTATCAGGAACCAGTTATAAACCTTGCTAATTAAGCTCCTTTTAACATTAATCTTTATTGTTGAAAGTATTATAGATGTCCCCCTTTTTCCTTTCATTAACTCTAATAAGTCTGGGCATGTTTTTATAATGTTGGCAATACGTTCCTGAGTGGGTGGTTATTTTTGTTCTCTATTTTACTCTCTACTCCTAGGAGACGTGTGCGAAGCACAGGACATCCAAAGGCTTGGTACCACTCTATGCTCTGCAGTGGTCCAACCTATAAGCCTACCGACCATTTCTATATAGTCTTCCAATTATAGACTTCTGAAGATAAAATGATAAATTAATATTTCAGTATTGAAAAGAATGACATTTTAGGTTAGAGTTTAGGAATCAACACATTTCAGCATATCACTGGGATAAATTTTATATATTTCGACATTGTGAAGAATTACATAGAGAATCATATAGGAAACTAACCTATTAGAACAAGTGGGATTAGCAAATAAGATTAAATATCAATAATTATCAAAAACTGTCTTCATTTTTTCCTAGTATTAATATTTTGTCATAATGGTTTTGAGGAACCTCATGCATTACATGCATAAAGATGCGTTAATTTAGGGTCTGTTAGGTGCTGCATTCCACACTGCTGACCAAAAGGGAAGCATCTGGCCGATCTGTGAGGAAGGGGGTGGAGATATAGTGCAAAGCGTTCAGGCTTCTAACATGGGAATAGGAAACCCTCAACAAATAAAGCATCACAATCTGAGAAATGCCTTTGAAAGGTCAAAAGCACCAAATCCCAAAGCACAGTTTGATAGACTGGGTTATAACTTTCATCCCTCTTACAACTACAGCAGTGATTTTCGACATTTTTCCTCTCATAGCACACATAAACTAATTACTAAAATTCTGCAGCACACCAAAAAATATTTGATATTTTTGCCAATCTGACCAAAAAAATAAAAAAGGTATAATTTTGAATGACTTACAAAAAAAAATAATAATAATAGTAATTTTTGCTCCAAAGTGACTTTTTATTTTTTATTTATTTATTATTAATTTATTTTTATTACAGATGTTTCTCCTTTTTCCCCCACTGACTCCCCCCTCCACCTCCCTCCCCGCCCTGTCCCCAGCTTTGTTGTCCATGTCCATTGTTCATGCATACATGCATATAAGTTCTGTAGTTTATCTCTCCTCCACCACCCCCTGTTCTGGGGATTGTCAGTCTGTACTCCACTTCCACGTCTTTGGCACTACCCCATTCCTCAGAAGTGACTTTTTAAAAAATCAGGTTGTATATAAAGATTTCTGGTACTAAGAATCAACCAATCAGATGTAACCTTATCATATGACATGACCAATAAGATACAACTCTATTATATGACCTATATATTTATGGCTCATGACAGGGTATTCATACTGGTTGGCTATTGCAGTATTGTCTGCTGTCATTTTTTAATTTGACAATCTAAGGCAAAAGAGGGCAGTGCTCCTGACTAAATAGATATTACATGCTTAAATTTTTAATTGGATTTATTGGGGTGACACTGGTTAATAAAATTATATGTTTCAGGTGCACAATTCTATAATAAGTCATGTGTATATCGTACTGTACATTCACCACCCCAAGTCAAATCTCTTTCCATCACCATGTATCCCCCCCTATTCTTCTACCTCCTCCCACGCCCTTTTCCCTCTGGTAATCACCACAATGTTGTCTATGTGAGGTTTTTTATTTGTTTGTTTTTGCTTAATCCTTTGGCCTTTTCACCTAGCCCCACAACCTTCCTTCCCTCTGACAGCTGTCAGTCTGTTCTCTAGGTACTGCATGTTTTAAAAATTCTTGTGGCACACTGGTTGAAAATTGCTGATCTGGAGTCTAAATCCATTATGATATTAATAATATTAACTTATTCCTTTTTAATCAATATCATAGTATATCTCTCATATAAAGGTAAAGTTGTATAATGATTCAACATATTCAGGATATTAAAAGATAAAAACAGATGAGAATGAAAATAAAAATTCTCATTTAGGTGTCTATAAGACACTATTATGTGTTATACAGGATTAGGTTTTATTTTCAGACAAGTCTAATACCTTCAGCACTGTTTAGCAAATAAAATATTTTGCTACAAGTAGCTTTCTAATGTAACTAAGTTATTATTTGATATACAGTCAATAAACATTATATATATTATTTGATATTTACATATACCTTTAAAAATTTATAGGAAGAGACCTTCAATATTACCTTTATGGTGTTTAACTTCCTCCCCTCCACTCCCACTTCTCCTGCCCATTGTTCTACAATCATTATATTTTATGGAGGAACAAAATAAAATAAATGATAGCTAGATAAATATCCTCATATATATGAGTATTTAATATGGAGAAGGAAATCTCTCCATACCATTTTTGGTATAGGTTGTCACGGTTCAAAAAATTTTTGTATTTTGTATTTTTAACTTTTCTTAACAACTTCACCTGTGCCTGCAGCAGCGGAGACTCACATTCAGCAACAGGTAGACCTTTTTTTGTTCTGTAATTCTTTGGCTGAACCAGTGTTTAAATATTCAGTCTCAAGTGACTTTCAATTTTACGTGTAACAACACAGAACATTAAGCAAGGTCATAAGAAAGAGTTTTAGGCCATTTGTATCAAACTCATTCAAACTTAAAAACACAACTATATAAATTTAGCTAATTTTGTTTATGGCTGTCAAAACTGAGCCTATACACTCTTGAGGCCTATTGCAATATACCAAAATAAAATGATTACTTAAATATTTATTGTGCTTCCTATGTGCAATGCTAAAATTTTTATTGCTCAGAGAAGTTTTTTTGCTCCCGCTAAGGATTTAAGAACTACTGATGAGACAAATTCCCCAATCTAGAGATGAGATAAAAATTTAAATTATTGAGGACATTGATGTCATCCCAAATAAGAGAGAGAAACTATGGAGTGGCTCCCTGCAACATTTCATTGATTCTAGTAATAAGCATTTAAGGACACAATATTAAAGAAGTGGAGCCATTAAGGTCTGATTTCTGCAGTGACATAACTTTAAGTCATGTTTACCTTTTCTAGTTCATTATGAATTTGTTTCCAAAATAAAAATGCTAGGTATCTATGACTCAATCCTTATTTTGTTTTAATGACCTTTTTAAACCTTTAAAGGGAAAAGGGCTCTTCTCATAATATCACATATATATTAATACAAATATAGTATAAATAAATCACTCTTTGGAAACAGTAAAGTATTGAAGTTTTGAGGGCTTCTGTCCCAACCTGGCTGGATGTCAAAATGGCTGCCCAGATGCTCCACCCATGGCGTCAAAATCCAAACCCAGGATTTAGCAAAGCAAAAATAAGATTGTGGTTTTTGTACTGTGTGCTTCAATGTTTCGAAATAGCTAGTTAAAAGTTATTTTAATAAGCATCTAGAATCAAGCTTTTTGCTTTTTAACTTTTATATTTAAACCTTAGATAATTCTAAATCACTTGAGGAAAATTATTAACAAAACATTACAAAGTTTATTTAAAGAAGAGGAATTTTACATCATTTTAGAAAATAGTTTTATCCCTTCTGACCTGTTCACTATTTTTTCAGTCTTGGTTGTATAATTTTTAAAAGTTAAGTGGTAGGCTCCATTGATATCCTGGCTTCCCTATAATGAATCAAAATTTAATAATTAAAATACCAGTTATATTTTTGCTTTACCTTGGTTGCTTTATAGCACTGCTCTGCAGTACATTCCGCTTTGCTGGTTGGATTACTCAAAGCAAAAATAATGGGCCGTTCATTGAAGGCAGCCATATCTTTGAGGATTTGTTCTGAGAATGCACCACCAACTGCAGCAACTCCTAAAACAGAAATGAGAAACCAGTGAATAGGAGTATCATTGGTTAATTAAATCAAGAAGCTCATGCCCCAAAACAATAAAAATTCAGGTCATGTTCTAACAGACTCTAAACAAAATATAAAATGTTTGTACCAAAGTGACAAAAAATACAAGGTTATTAATGCCAATAATTGTTAGGGTTATATTGTACAAATATCTAAAAAATCAGAGCTATATAACATTTTACTCAAAATACATTCAGCTGGTGACTAATCACTAGGAATTTTGATTGTAGGCATTCATAATAGTAAATTAATATGTGCCCAATATGGCCCTGGCTTGGTAGCTCAGATGGTTAGAGTATCGTCCCAATATGCCAAGGTTGCAAGTCTGATCCCTGGTCAGGGCACATACAAGAATCAACCAATTAATGCGTAAATGAGTGGAACAAAACATCCCTCTCCCCTGCCCTTTCTCTCACTCTCTCTATAAAATCAGTAAGCAAAAATTAAAAACAATTTCGTTCAATATATATTATCCCTCTATAATAAATATATCAGTGCATTTCAGTCTCTAAGGCTATAAAGTAACTGTGTTTTATAAACCAGTGCTAATCATCCAATTCAATTCAAAATTGAAGTATGATGTATTGAAAGGATTTTAGAAGAATAAAGCAATTTGCAAAATGGAAATGAAAAAATGCAAGATTCCTGATAAAGAATATTTTGTAAAACACAACAATAAAGGCTTCCTACAGTTCCAGTCATGGAGTATTCGTTTTTATTACGGTTATCATCATTGTTCTCAATATAGTCACCTGCTTCACAAAAACTTCTAGGAATGGAGTACAATACAAAATAAGGCTGACAACCAACACACATAAAATAAGAGATAAAATTTCTTTGATTTTTCTAACCACATTAAACTTGACCATAATAAATATTTTCCTGTGCAACGCAGTGCTAAACTACTGTGTTAAGTGCTGTGAGCAATATAAAGATCTGTGAAATAAGGTTCCTGTCATCAAGAAGGGTCTAATTCAGTGTTTCCCAACCCTGGCACTATTAACATTTTAGGTTGGACAATTCTTTGTTGTTGGGGACTTTCCTGGGCATTCCTAGTCTCTACTCACTGAATGTCAGTATCTCTGACGTCCCCCTTTCTGCCCAGTTGTGACTACCAAAAATATCTCCAGACACAGTCAAATGTTTCCTTGGGGGCAAAGTCACTCCCTCCCTCACTCCCATTTTAGAGCCACTGTCTATTTGGAACAATCAAGCCTGGAAAAGTGCTGAATATGCCAGGTATCAACAGGCTCAGTAATGTTAAGACAGCATGAATTTACAAATCTAGGCATCTTTGGGGTACTGTTGCTTCAGTGAATGTGTAATTTTGTTTGTCAACTGCAAAGGTTAGAATTTCAAAAATCTGAATTATGCCTCAAAAATCACTAAGAAAACTAATCAGGTGAAATGGGGTTGGGTGGGGTTCATGGGAAGGAGGGAGAAGTAGTTCACCTATGAGAGCAGTTGGTTTTATTTCTTGAACAATGTCTTCTAGTTTCTTCATTTGTTCATGCTCATGAGCAAATTCTTCTTTCTCTTTTGTTAAGGCAGCACGTCCCTAAGTAAAGCAAAGAGGAAGAAATGACAAATCTGCAACACATGCGAATCAGAGCAATTTCAGAATATTACCCATATTACCAGTATTTATACCTAACATTTTTATGTATTATAGCTGTTCTTAAAATCTTTCTTCTAATTATCAGAGTATCATTTCATTCATTCTTTTTCGTTTTGTTGTTGTTAATCCTCATCTGAGCATATTTTTTTCTGATTATTAAAGAGTGGAAGGGAGGGAGACAGGTGGAGGAAAGGAGAGAGAAAAAAACATCATTGAGAGAGAGAGACATAGATCAGTTGCCCCCCTCACTCATTGAAACCTGGATGAGAATCACACCTGCCATACAGGTATGTGCCCTTGACTGAAAATCAAATCTGAGACCCTTTGGTGCACTGGCTGATGCTCTAGCCACTTAGTGATACCAGCCAGGGCTCATTCTTCTTCTTCTTCTTTTTTTTTTTTTAATAACTTTTTATTAACTTATTTTTGTTACAGAGGTTTCTCCCTTTTCCCCCCCATTGACACCCTCCTCCCCTTCCTCCCCACTCCATACCCGGCTTTGTTGTCCATCGCTTATGCTTACATGCATATAAATTCTGTGGTTTATCTCTTCCCTCCCCCCACCACATCCTCTTCTGAGGGTTATCAGTCTGCACCCTACTTCCATGTCTCTGGGTCTAACCTATTCCTCAGACTTTTATGTTCATTATATTCCACAAATAAGTGAGATCATGTGATATTTGTCTTTCTCTGCTTGGCTTGTTTCGCTCAGGATAATACTTTCCAGGTCCCTCCATGTCGTCTCAAAGGATAAGAGATCTTTCTTTCTTACAGCTGCATGGTACTCCACTGTGTATATGTACCATAGCTTTTTTATCCATTGGTCTACTGATGGACACTTGGGCTGTTTCCAGATTTTAGCTATTGTAAATAGTGCTGCTATAAAAATGGGGGTACATATATTCTTTCTGATTGGTGTTTCAGGCTTCCTAGTGTATATTCTTAGGAGTGGGATCACTGGATAAAATGGCAATTCAATTTTTAATTTTTTGAGGTGACACCATATTGTTCTCCATAGTGGCATCAGCAGTCTGCACTCCCACCAGCAGTGTACTAGAGTCCCCTTTTCTCCACACCCTCACCAACACTTGTTGTTTGATGATTTGTTGATGGCAGCCATTCTGACAGGTGTGAGGTGATACTTCATTGTTGTTTTAATTTGCATCTCTCTGATGATTAGTGATGTTGAGCATTTCTTCATATGTCTCTTGGCCATTTGTATGTCCTGTTTGAAGAGGTGTCTATTCAGCTCCTCTGCCCATTTTTTTAATCGGGTTCTTTGTCTTCCTTTTGTCCAGGTGTATAAGTACTCTCTATATATTGGAAATTAACCCCTTATCTGATATATCATTGGTAATGATGCTCTCCCATACAGTGGGTTGCCGTTCCATTTTGGTGGTTGTTTCTTTTGCTGTGCAGAAGCTTTTTAGTTTAATGTAGTCCCACGTGTTCATTTTCTCCTTTGTTTCTGTTGCCTTAGGCGATGTATCAGTGAAAATTCTGCTGCGTATGATGTCTGGAATTTTGTTGCCTACATTTTCTTCTAGGATTTTTATGGATTCATGAGTCACTTTTAAGTCTTTTATCCATTTTGAGTTTATTCTTGTGTATGGTGTAAGTTGCTGGTTTAGTTTCATTTTTTGCATGTCGCTGTCCAATTTTCCCAATACCATTTATTAAAGAGGCTCTCTTTACTCCATTGTATGCTCTTGCCTCTTTGTAAAATATTAATTGAGCATAATGTCTTGGGTGCATAACCGGGTTCTCTGTTCTGTTCTACTGGTCTATATGCCTGATCTGGTGTCAGTACCAGGCTGTTTTGATTACAGTAGCTTTGTAGTATAATATGATATCCAGTAATGTGATCCCACCTACTTTGTCCTTCTTTTTCAAGATTGCTGTAGCTATTCAGGGTCTTTTTGGTTCCATATAAACTTTTGAAGTATTTGTTCTACTTCTGTGAAATGTGTTGTTGGTATTCTGATGAGGATTGCATTGAATCTACAGATTGATTTGGGTAATATGGACATTTTAATGATGTTAATTCTTCTAATCCATGAACAGGTATGTACTTCCACTTTTTTATATCTTCCTCTATTTCTTTTTTCAATGACCTGTAGTTTTCTGCAAATCAGTCCTTTACTTCTTTGGTTAAGTTTATTCCTAGGTATCTTAATTTTTTTTTTTGCCACGATGGTAAATGGGATTTTTTTTTTTAGTTTCTCTTTCTGTGAGTTCATCATTGGTGTATAAGAATGCCGTCGATTTCTTGACATTAATTTTGTATCTTGCTACTTTGCCAAATTAATTTATTAAGTCTAGTAGGTTTTTGATGGAGTCTTTAGGGTTTTCTATGTATAATATCATGTCATCTGCAAATAATGACAGTTCCACTTCCTCCTTCCCAATTTGGATCCCTTTCATTTTTTTCTTAATGTCTGATTGCTGTAGCTAAGACTTCCAGTACTATGTTAAATAAGAGTAGTGAAAGTGGGCATCCTTGTCTTGTTCCTATTCTTAAGGGAAATGCTTTTATTTTTTACCAAGTGAGTATAATGTTGGCTGTATGTCTTTCATATATGGCTTTTATTATGTTGAGATATGATCCCTCTATTCCCACATTGCTGAGCATTTTTAGCAGAAATGGATGTTGAATGCTTTTTCAGCATCTACTGATATGATCATGTGGTTTTATTCTTCATTTTATTTATGTGGTGTATCCCATTTATTATTTGCAAATATTGTACCAGCCTTGCATCCCTGGGATGAATCCCACTTGGTCATGGTGAATAATTTCTTTGATATATTGCTGGATTTGATTTGCTAGTATTTTGTTCAGGATTTTGGTGTCTATGTTCATCAGGGATATTGGCCTGTAGTTTTCTATCTTTGTAGTGTTTTCTGGTTTTAGAATTAGAATTATTCTAGCCTCATAAAATGAGTTTGGAAGAGCTCCTTCTTGAATTTTTTGAAATAGTTTGAGGAGAATGGGTGTTAGTTCTTCTTTGAATGTTTGTTAAACTCCCCCGTGAAGCCATCCGGGCCTGGGCTTTTGTTTGCTGGGAGAGTCTTGATTACTTCTTCAATTTCCTTAGTTGTAATTTGTCTGTTCAAATATTCTATCTCGCCCTGGCCGGTTTGGCTCAGCGGTTAGAGCGCCGGCCTGCAGTCCTGGGAGACCCGGGTTCGGTTCCCGCTAAGGGCGCGTACCTCGGTTGCAGTTTGTCCCCGGCCCTGGTCGGTTGTGCGGGTGGCAGCCGCTCGATGTGTTCCTTTCGCATCGATGTTTCTCTCTCTCTCTGTGTTCCTCTCTCTCCCTCTCACTCTACCTGAACAAAAAATGGAAAAATGTCCTCAGGTGAGGATAAAAAAAAAAAAAAAAGAAATAAAGTAAGAAATGTTGATAAAAAACAAAACAAAACAAAACAAAAAACAAATATTCTATCTCTTCCCGGTCCAATTTTGAGAGACTATGTGTTTTTAGAAATTTGTGCATTTCACTTAGATTGTCAAACTTGTTACCATATAATTGTTCATAGTATTTGTTAATGATCTTTTGTATTTCTGTGGTGTCAGTTGTTACTTCTCCTCTTACCTTTCTGATTTTGGGCATTTGGGTTCTCTTTGTTTCTTGGTGAGTCTAGCAAAGGGTCCATCAATCTTGTTTATCTTTTCGAAAAACCAGCTCTTTGTTTCATTGATCCTTTGGATTGTTTTTTGTTTTGATCTCTATGTCATTTATTTCTGCTCTGATCTTTTCTATTCCCTTCCTTGTACTTGCTCTGGGGTTTTCTTTTTGTTTGCTTTCTAGTTCTTTAAGTTGTAAGGTTAGATAGCCTATTAGAGATTTTTCTTGTTTCTTGAGGTAGGCCTGTAGTGCTATGAACTTCCCTCTCAGAACTGCTTTTGCTGCATCCCATAGATTTTGTGTTGTGTGTTCATTTTCATTGGTTTCCAGAAAGTTTTTAATCTCTTCCTTGATCGCTCAGTAACCATTCATTGTTTAATAACATACTATTTAGCCTCTATGTGTTCCAATGTCTTTGCATGTTCTTGTTGCAGCTGATTTCTAGTTTCATGCCATTGTGATCTGAAAAGATGTTTGATATGATTTCAATCTTCTTGAACTTGTAGTGACTTGCTTTGTGTCCTAAAATGTGTTCTATCTTTGAGAATATCCCATGTGTACTTGAGAAGAATGTGAATTCTGTAGTTTTGGGGTGTAATTCTCTGTAGATATCTATTAAATCCATTTGGTCTAGTGCTTCATTTACAGTCTCTGTTTCCTTGTTAATTTTTTGTCTAGAGGATCTATCCAGTGATGTCAGCGGGATGTTTAAGTCTCCTGCTATGATTGTATTACTGTCAATTTCTCCTTTGAAGTCCTCCAGAAGATTTTTAAAATATTTTGTTGCTCCTATATTGGGTGCATATGTTTATCAAGGTTATATCTTCCTGTTGGATAGATCCTTTCAATATTATGTAGTGGCCATCTTTGTCGCTAGTTATGGCCTTCATTTTGAAATCTATTTTATCAGATATGAGTATTGCTATCCCAGCTTTTTTTCCCTTTCCATTTGCTTGGAAGATTTTTTTTTCATCCCTTTACTTTCAACCTATGTGAGTCTTTTGTTGTGATTTGGGTCTCTTGTAAACAACATATAGATGAGTTTTGCTTTCTTATCCAATCAGCTACTCTTTGTCTTTTTATGGGAGCATTCAATCAATTTACATTTAAGGTAATTATTGATATGTACTTATTTATTGCCATTTTTTGTTTAGTGTGGTTATATATATTTTTTCTATTTCTTCTACTAATTACAGCAGTCCTTTTAACATTTCTTGTATTGCTGCTTTGGTGCCAATATATTCCCTTAGCCTTTTTTTTTGTCTGGGAAGCTCTTTTTTGACCTTCTATTTTGAATGATAACCTTGCTGAG